ACTCAAAGAGGAGTTTGATTCACTTGACAAGGCTCACAAGGCCTTGAAGGGTGCTCATGCTAGCCTCTAGGAGTCTCATAAATCAACTCCAAGTGAAGCTAACCAAGGAGAAAGCCACATTTCCTCATATGGTTTTAGTTGATAACGCAAATGCTACTAACCCGTGTTGTGAGCATGTGCATCTTGTGGAGGAAAATGCCAAGTTGAAGGAGCAACTTAAGAAAGGCCTTGTGTCGTGTGTACAAGGTGAGAAGAATATCAATGACCTTTGGAGTAATCAAAAGGAAGTTGTTGCCAAGGAGGGATTTGGGTTCGCACCCAAGTCCAATAACAAGAAGAAGAATGACAAGACCAAACGACCTCCCCCTCTCAAGCAAACCTTTGTAAAGGAGGGAGAGAGTACTTCTAAGGAGAAGAAGAACAAAGTAAAGGATGGCAACGTCAAAAAGGGCAATGCCATCCCTTCCAACAAAGCCGACGACTTTAACCCTTCTATGTGTTGTGTCGTGCTAGTGACGGGCATGTTTATGCTAAATTTGTTGGTTCTCCTTATGAGTACATTGAATGGTCTATTTGGGTTCCCAAGACCCTTGTTACTAACATCAAAGGAGCCATTACTCAATGGTTGCCCAAAAGCTCCATTGTTGCTCCAAGCTCCATTTTCGCCCGATCTCTCTCCCTAGCCAATCAAACTTGTTGATTTGCTCGGGATTGGTTGAGAAGGCCCCGATCTACACTTCCACCTAGAGAAATATGATTCCCCCCACTAATCCCTTGCGGATCTTGTTTTTCTTGGGTGTTTGAGCACCCTAGATGGTTGAGGTCACCACGGAGCCATAGTCCATTGTGGTGAAGCTTCATGGTGTCATTGGGAGCCTCCAATTAAGTTGTGGAGATTGCCCCAACTTTATTTGTAAAGGTTCGGTCGCCGCCTCCAAGGGCACCAATAGTGGAATCACGGCATCTCGCATTGTGTGAGGGCGTGAGGAGAATACGGTGGCCCTAGTGGCTTCTTGGGGATCATTGTGCCTCCACACCGCTCTAACGGAGACGTACTTCCCTTCAAAAGGAAGGAACTTTGGTAACACATCCTCGTCTCCATTGGTTCCCCTTTTGGTTATCTCTCACCTTTACTTGTGCAAGCTTATATTGTGTTGCATCTCTTGCTTGCATGTGTGCTTGTTGTTGTTGCAGCATATAGGTTGCTCACCTAGTTGCATATCTAGACAACCTACTTTGATGCAAAGTTGAAATTGGTAAAGAAAGGCTAAAAATTGTTAGTTGCCTATTCACCCCCCTCTAGTCAACTATATCGATCCTTTCAATTGTGCTGCTTCCGCCCCAGCTACTATCGTTGGTTGTATCGGATGGTTGCTTTGTAATACAAAGCAGGGGGAAACCGTTTTTCTTGATTGTTGGTCGACAAAACAAACCCTGATTGTTGGTCGGCAAAACAAATTCCAACAGGCGCCCAACGGGAGTGATGTCATCGCTTAGTTGGGCAAGGCCTAAGCATTTTTTCTTCTTCTATTTTTTTTCCTCCTATTTTTTCGTTAATCCACTTTTCATTTTCGAACATTATTATACTTTTTGAAACCTGTTCAAAAATTAGGAGTGTTGTTTGGAATACCAAAATAACAGTTTTAAGTAACTGTTTTAAATTATGATTTTCAATTCTTTTTCCTTGAAATGTTTATTAAATGTTTTTTTGAAAAAGCTTGTACTATTTTTAATTTTATCTCTTTGTACTTATTTGTTATTAGTTATGTTAGAAACTTAAAATGACAGTTTTATATACCTGTTTTAATTATGATTTTAAATATTTTTCCCTTCAAACCTAGCATGGATGCCTACCCAAACAGCCCTTTGTTTAGCATGGTATTTTTTTACATTCTTGAAATGAGCACAACTTTTGCAAACAGGTGGGCATGCCCATGGTAGGCATCAATACCTCCAATTTTTTCATGGCATTATATGATCAATTCAAGGCACCAAGCCAAGTTTCTTGGGTTTTCAATAAATTTTGCAATTTCTGAAGTTTTCTCGATCAAAAAAGGTCGATAAATTGCTGGACTTGTCACAACTTGCATACAGTGTCGAAAGTCGTTCAAACCTATGCCTATCATGGGCATGTCCACCTTATAGCAGAAGTTGAGGTAACTTCAAGGATATCCATAAATATATCATGTTCAACGAAGGGTGTTTGGGTAGGTCCAAAGGGTTCATCTAAGAGCATATTGTTTTTTTGACATTCCTGAAATGGCTCATATTTTTGTCATGGCCTTGCATGACCAATTCAAGGCACCATGACAAACTATTTTGGTTTTCGACATGTTTTGCAGTTTCTGGAGTTTTCTCAGCGAGAAAAAAGGCCAAAAAATGGCCGGATGTGTCGCAACTTGCATACGGTGTTAAAAATCGTTCAAACCTGACATGGATGCCTACCATGGGAGTGCCCACCCGATGGCAAAAAGATGGGGCCATTTCAATGATGTACAAAAATGAACCATGTTGAATGAAGGGTGTTCGGGTAGGCCAATAGGCTCCTTTTGAGAGCACGTTGTTTCTCGAATTCCTTGAAATGACCTCATTTTTTCAGGGCCTTGTATGACCAATTCAAGGTATGATGGCAAGTTGTTTGTGCTTTCGACAAGTAGTGCATTTTTTGAAGTTTTCTTGGTGAAAAGGCTAATTCACGGCAGATTAGGCACGAATGCCTCACATGGGAATGCCCACCATCTTGCAAAAGTTGGGGTCAGTCCTGAGATTTCCAAAGAAATGCCATGTTCAATGGAGAGTGTTCGGATATGCCAGAAGGGTCCATTTGGGAACACCTCGTTTCTCGAGATCCCTTTAAATTGCCCCTTTTTTCATGGCCTTGTATGACCAATTAAAGGCATCATGCCAAAATATTTGGGTTTTCGTCGAGCTTTGCATGAAATTTTCTCGGTTAAAAAAAGCCCATAAATGGGCGGACATGTAGCAACTTGCATACGGTGTCGAAAGTGGTCCAAACCAGGCATGAATGTCTACCATGGCCATGCCCACATGTCAGAAGGATCCGTTTGAAAACTCATTGTTTTGCAACAACCATCGAATGGCCTCGATTTTTTCCACCAGCTTTTATGACCAATTCAAGGCATCACGCCAAGTTATGTGGATTTTTGACAAGTTTTGCATTTTCTGAAGTTTTCTCGGTGAAAAAGGCTGATAAATGGCCGGACGTGCCGCTACATGTAAACGGTGTCGAAAGTTGTTCAAACCTTGCATGGATACCTCATATGTCCGTGCCAGGCTATTGCAGGAAGTTGCTGTCATTTATCCATAGTAAAAAAACACCAGATGAAAGGAGTGTGCGAGACTATGTCAAACAGGTGCATATGTGAGCATGTATTTTTTTTCCTAATTTGAATGCTTTTGGTACTTGCAATTTGTGTCATTATTAATCAACATAAACATCTTCTTATGTCCAAACCATTATAGAAATTTATCAACATTTTGGAATTCAAATTGTTGAAAATTTTACAAGTTTGAACACTTTTTCCAAAATTGTATTCAACAATTGACGAAAATTTTGAACAAAATTTGCAAACCACATGCTTTTTATAATTCCTCATCTTTATTTTGAAACAGATAAATTTCTTAAATTTGTGAAGAAAATATTTGAAAATTAGAACATTTTATGAAATTCTAGAACACTTTGTTTAAATTTTGAAGAAATTTTTGAAAACAAGAACATTTTCTGGTATTCCAAACAATTTTTTTAAAAATTTGGAACAGGTTTAAAAAATTATATTAAAGTTCAAAAGGATAAAAATGAATTAATTAAAAAAGGGAAGAAACACGAAAAAAAATTGAACAGAAAAAATGCTTAGGTCCTAGAAAATAAAAAATGTTTTCGGAAAATGTTAGTAAATTTGAAAAAAAAATCATAAATCTGAAAAACAAAATGTGTTCTAAAATAATGCTCAGAAATTTGAAAAAGTGTTTGCATTTTCAGAAACTATATGTAAATTTTAAAATTGTATTCATGTTTTCAAGAAAATGTTCGCACATTTGAGAATTGTTTGTCTTTATGAAAAAATGTTCGTACTTTCAGAAAACGGCTGACAAGTTTGAAAAAATGTTCAACAAATGTTCTATAATTTGAAAAATGTACACAAAATCAATAAAAGTTTCTATTCTTCATAAAAAGGTTCACATATTGAAAACTTGTTTGCGTTTCCAAAAGAAGTTCAAATTTTTAAAAATATTTTGCAATTTAACAAACCTTCGTGTTTTCAAAATATATTTCAAAAATTGGAAAACCGCATTCATTTTTTTAGGTATAAAAACGCTTTATTTACAAAATACCCGGTTGGTTCGCTACAGTATCTGGCCCAGTTTGTTATACTACCGTACGCCAATTTTTTTTCTCTGGGTACAATACGTCAAATCTACTCCCACGGTTCCTAAATATAAATTTAGATTTTTATATAAACTACATATGGATGTATATAGACGCATTTTAGAGTGTAGATTCACTCATTTTGCTTCATATGTAGTTTCATGTGTTTATCCCCCTTGTGTTGGAGGAGTTTCCACCTTAATATCGCGTGTCTCATGTGTTGATTTCATTCTTCGTCGTTTTGATTTGCATCTCGTATCTCTAACATAAACACCACACTGATCATGACCTGACATATGTGGTAAGTAATTAAAAACAATACATTGATCAAGGATTGTTTACAGGTTGGGTCGTCGCTCGGTATGTGCGCGCGCGCTGACTCTCAATGAACGTGGTGCGGCCAGGCCAGTTTGCACATGGTTGCAATGCAACTTGGCATGTGAGATCTACTATATACTAGTACTACGGAGTAGTAATAAATAACCACATCTACTCTTCCATATTGTCCGCCAAAGCTGGCAAATCCGGTTCACATATGACACTCGATCTGATCTGATCGATCCATATAGCAAGCTAGCCATCGTCCTATCTCTTCCGGCCAAGTTAAGCAGCCATGGCCATCGAGGACCACCCACCAGAACCCACTCGTATTCCGGCTGAGGAGTGGAAGCAAACAGCAAATGAGTTCACATCTTGTGTGTGGGAATCAAAGTTCCATAGGTTCCCTGCGAGCCTACGGGATCTAGGCGAGCGGTACATAGAGCCGATGGTGGTGGCAATCGGCCCTTACCACCACGGCATTCCCAAGCTCGAGGAGATGGAGAAGTTGAAGATGGTGGCTGCACACTGTTTCATTGAGGACTCGGGTCACTCGCCCGAGGAGATCTACGGTGCCGTCTCCGCCGTCGCGGGGATGGCCCGCGGCCTCTACGTCGGCGATGAGGTGGCAGGTATGGATGCTCATAAGTTCACCACCATGATGCTCCTCGATGCTTGTTTCTTGCTGCAGTACGTGCGTGTAATGGCGGCCGATTCACAGCATACTGTAGATCCGTCGTTGCAGCGTGCGCTCATCTGCAACCGAGTTTGCATCGAGAACGACATCATGCTGCTGGAGAACCAGATCCCTTGGTCCGTAGTGGATATACTCAACGGGCTCAGTGGTGCTCCTGCTCCGGTGGACAAGTTCATCTCTATCATGGGAAGCATGTTCCAGATCGGGCAACGGGGGAGCGTTGGAATTGGATCATTTTTAACTCTTTTAAGTACTGGTTGCAACCCGCCACATCTCCTTGCCCTCTTCCGGATGGAGAAAGTGGGGCCAGTCCATAGATCCTATGTAGAGCTCCCATCCACCTTGCCGTTCACGATACGTGCCACCGATCTCGCCCGGATGTCCATCAGGATCAAGCCCTGCATGACGCCATATTTCTGTGACATGGGCATCTGGATAGCGAAGATCTTCAGCTATCTCTTCCTTCCGCCGCTGTTCCTCGACGAAACGAGGGCGTGCTGGCTCGTAAACATGGCCGCCCTCGAGGTCTGCACAGCCTCCAACGACAGGGAGGATATCAGGAAGTTACATACCGCCGTGTGCTCGTACCTCGCCCTCCTGGCGATGCTCATGAACCGGGAGGAGGACGTGGAGGAGCTGCATAAGAAGCAGATATTGCAAGCAAATCTGACCGACAAGGAGACGCTAGATTTCTTCAAGAACCTTGTGAAGCGCCTAGACGGCGGCCCGGTCTACAACTCCATCGTGGCGGAGATTCAGCAGTACAAGGAGACGACGAGCTGGATCAAGGTCTACGGCTTCATCCAAGACAACACAAAAATCATCCTCACGATGCTGCCCATCATTGGCTTTCTTGCTGGTATCTTGAGGACGCTCCTCTCTCTGAACTCACGCCAGCAGTATAACTAGCAAGTCACACAATGTTTGCCTCGGCATCATCGAAATAATTTGTATCCACAGAATTTGTTCTTATCCCCTGCTATATATTGGTTTTGTTGGCTGTAGTGAACTCAATTGTTGCATCATGTCTTTGAGACATAGTGTTTTGTTAGTTGTTTAAGCTTCTTTGCTAGTCCGTTGCCTATTAGGAGTAGTTCCGTTCCACTGAATATTTTGCAGCTGTTTGTGCCTGACCAGTGCTAAAGGGGTGTG